AGATAGCTGGGAACACAGGTAGCCTCACTCCCTCAGGCGCGCTAGCGCTATCTTCTGCTTGTTCTCACACCTGCTCTCTGACAAGGGGCAAGTCTGGGTCTTTGGAGATGCCGTTTGCACCAACCTCTGTGAACAAAAAAGGGTCTGATGTCTTGGTTCTCCAGCCATGGATCTCATGGGTCATCAGCTGACAAAATGTGTTGACGGCTAACCGTAAAGCCAATTCAGGATAAGAAAATAACAAGCCTGTCTAGTGCCAAAACCTAATTCCTCTGAGGGAAACATAAGAAGACGGCTGCAAATTGTGCCTTAAGAGGATGGAAAAACAAGAGGAACAAGGGCTGAAAAACAATACTTTTTTTTTTTGACAGGCTGAGCCAGGCCTCGAATGTACCAACCGGTGCAGCAGGGCAGATGTGACCACCTCACACACAATACAATTAAGTCCCGCACCCCAGCCCACCCCCAAGCTGTGCTTACTAATGAACAGAGCCCAAGAGTCTTTGCTCCCGCCCCACCCCTCTCCTCCTCACCTCTTGACTAGAAGTGTGAATGGAACCCCCAAGGACCCAATTTCCTGCCACTAAATTGGAAGCTTGTTACTCTGAAGCCTTCCTGCTCCAACCCCCCCCAACCCTTCCCTAAACAGACAGACAAACAGACATTGTAGCTGACAGTTTCACAACAAGCCCCTTGAAAATGCCAAAAGAGGAAGATTGGCCAACTTCTGAAATGGAGGGGCAAAAGAATTAGGCAACCGAGCAGTGGTGGCGCCTTGCAGGCATTTATTTCCCTTGCACGAAGGCTCGGCTCATGATCCAGAGAGCTGTCCCCTCTCCACCTTTTCAGGTGAGCCCTCCTCCCCTCCATCAGCACTTTGAGGCTCAGGCCACCGAGATGCATGCAAATGAAGGGCCCTGCGCAAAACACACGTCCCCTTCTCCTCCTCCTCCGAAGGTCTCTCTTTTTTTTCTTTCCCTTTGTGCTTCTCTCTTTTCCGCCCAGATTGATGCAGGACTGATTTGTCAGCATTCAGAGCAATATCTGTGTCAATTAAGTAAAAGCCTGTGCTTATCACACTGCTGGATGAATCCCAGAGATGTGTGGGAGGAAAAAGCTTAAAAGTAAAGGGACAGGGAGGGAGAAGAGCATGATGGAAAGCATACATGGGGTGGAATGGAGAAGGGGAGGAGAGAAAGAGGAGTTTCCAAGGGTGACTGACATATTGTGAGTGCCTATACTCACACCCCTTTCCAGTGTAAGGGCCAAGGATCACATTTCTACCGATGTCTGTGATGTTAGTTCCACCCTCCAGCATTCCAGATCTCCATGATCCTGATTCCACCCCAAACAACCCAAAAAACAGCCGCACATCTAAGGAACACACTCTACCCCACTTAATAAAGACACACAAAATCCAGCTTCATGTAATCCCATAACACAGAGATCCACACAATAGTATTCAAGAGGACCTGGTTTGTTCTGATGGATAGCCATCTTCTTTTCTCCCAAGGCTGAAATGCCACTCTGGGCTGGTCAGCACCCAGCTTCAACTCACCCTTTGCAAGATGGAAGAAGCAAGGAGATCACCCACCACCCATCCCACCTGAGACTTATGAGAAAGATGAGCCAACTGGAGATTTTTAGGACATGCTCCGGACAGGCAGCCATGCCCCTCTGCTGCCTCCAGAACAGTAAAGGGCTTTACAGCACCTTAAAGATGAACGCATCTATTGCGGAATCGACTTCTGTAGGCTAAATGTTATTTGGAAGCCACCCTACCTTCCTCAAAGAGAAATGCTGTGGCTGAACTGCATGACTTATCTTAAATAATGTACTGGTAGACACCCACCCACCAAGGCCACATGTTAGATGCTGAAAGCATCCTGCTGATACTGCCCCAGTGCAGTTGTGCCTATGGCTCACACCTCACCTGTGGACTGGATGGATGGATGGGTGGGTGGGTGGATGGATGGATGGATGGATGGATGGATGGATGGATGGATGGATGGATGGATGGATGGATGGATGCAAGAGGGTGGGAAAGGAAATGTGTCCTCTTTCATCTCCAGTGAACGATGGTTGGAGTTTCACCAGGAACCAAGGAAGAGTCAAAATCTGAAACCTTTATTCTGCCCATGTGAGTGAAACGAACTAGGTATGTTGCTCAAGCATCCTTCTGTACTGCAACTTTAAAATCTCCCCCCTCTATCCTCCTTTTTCTGCTGCATTGCTGACCTTAAGGCTTCTGTCTCTCTCTCTGTGTGTATCACTCTCCCTCCATCCCACATCTTGACTTTCTGTGGACAGCAGTGGGATGCAATACATGCAGTGTTGCAGGAAGACCTCAGCAGCCATGCACGCTAGCTCCCCCCACCTCTTTTTTTCCTTCCAACATCCCCATATTCCCACCAGGGTGGGGTACAGATTGCAGCGTGTCAAGCAAGCAACGGAACAACCCTGGCAAGGTCAAAATGGCTTTGCAGCGTTCCACCTTTGAGAGGAATCGCCTGGTTTATTTTCCCCTTGATGTCCTCCCCTGCTTTGCTCTACTTAAGATTGGGTAGGGACACAAATCTCCGCCACAGCCTGCCTCCGGGAGGTCCCCCCCACCCTTCCTCTCTCTCTCTTTCTCGCTCGCTCGCTCTCTCTCCTTGCACCGTGCCACCTTTCTGCGATGCTTGCAACCCCCTATCTCCTCCCACCCCTCCTCGCTCCGCACTCCTCCGTCCGCCGCTCCTTCGAGTCACACGACGGAGAAGCGCTCGCAGCCGCCTCGGCGCAAGCGAAGGAGCGCGGGCGCGCGCACGGGGAGGGGAGGGGGAGGCCCCGCGACCCTCCCCGAAGGCGACTGCTGCCAGCTCCTTTTGTTCGGCTGCAATTCTCTCCCGTCTGCGCGCACACGCCGCATGCACGCACACACCACACAGACACACTCACACCCCATCTCGCTCGCTCCAGCTTGCGGGGTGGGGCCGCGCGATGGGGACGTCTAACGGAAAGCGAGGAGGTGGGGTGGGTGCGCTGGCGAGGGGAGGGCGACGTCGCCTGTGCCAGGGAGGGCATTTGCAAGCACGCAGCAACATGCAGAAACGCGCCAAGGAAGGCGACGCGGGGCCCTCCCCCCCGCGCGCTTGCTTGCGTCTGTTACACGCGAGGAGAAGGGCGGCAGCGTAAAAATGCAGGCTCTAGGCACACATACACACACACACACACATTGCAACGGCATCAGCTCTTGCGTATTCGCACGACCCCGCCCTGGCTCCCCAGCATCTCAGCCCGAAGATGCTGAGATGACGAGAACCAAACCGCCCCCCCC